CTAGTTCCTTATATGAACATTTTTCCCCAAGTAATTTTACAAAACAGAGTATTTGCTATTTTTTATAAACAATAACTATAGAAATACAAATTCCAAAGTGGGAGCTTCATTTTGTCCATCTCTGTAACACCTTAGCAAAAATTGCATGTCCCCAGAACACGGAAAGAATGAATTCCTGCTTTATGTTGTTTACAGCACTTCAGACAAACAGCCATGCTGGGCTGTAACCAGCACTCTTTGTTTCACAGGCAATCTCTGGTACCGACAGGGAATCACACCCAGCTACCCTCAAGGATCTGCCTGGGATCATGTTTCCAATAATATCCGTAAAATGTCTGTAGGGCCCCTGGACCAGGTGTGTATTAAGCTTTTTTGTATCTCATGAGTTTATTAAAAATTATGCAGAACATACGTTAATAATTAAATGTTCTTCAGCCTTAGTTTTGTTTAACTTCACTGCACAAAATGTTAGTCTAAATGCTGGAATCTGATAGCAAGAGAAAAAAATCATACCAATGGAATAGTGATACAGCCAAGCCCTCTGCTGCAAAAAGCCTCATTAATTTTTCCATTTTTTTTAACAAGGCTATATATTTTAACAAGGCTTTTTATATATTTAATCTCTTTCCTGCCAAGTCTTATCTGGCAATATTTTAATTATAACACTGCTCTATAGTTTGTTTGGGTGTCTCTCTGCCTAAATTAGAGCATTTTCAGCCTATTGAAGAATAAGCCTGATTTTTGAAAGGGGTCAGACAGAGATTTCACATCTGGGAAGAGCAGCACATTTTAATACCTCTCTCTGTTTCCTTGAGGTGTGGGTGATAGCTGACAAAGTGCAGGGCAGCCACAGCCTGAGCTGTGGGACCGTCTGCCACCGGACTGGAGTCCAGCCCCTGGAACCCAAAGGCCTCTCCTGGGATTATGGTATTGGGGTAAGTGCTGGGGGCACAGAGCTGCCTGAAGTTGTACATCCCACTGTCTGTGGGCTCACAGAGAAAGGGAAATGCCATCCTGCCCAGCTGGCCAGCATTGGAAAGCTTGGATATACCTCTAGGAAATTGACATTTTCCTTCAGGTTTAGGTTCCTTTTTGAAGTAATAATAATGGGCTCTGCAGTCATAGCTGGGACATTGTTTATTTGCATTTGATAAGTATTCATTTTAAATAGGTAATTTAAAAGTTACAATGGAAAAACTAGTGGAGTAAGAGCCATTTAAAAAAAAAGGATTCCTTCCTAGGTCTGTACATGATTATTCCTCATTGTTGTACCTGTAGTTCAATGTTTGAGAAAGGCTATTTCAAGTTTTGCCACCTTTTAAGTTGGTGGAACATATGAATGCCTGACCCCACTAATCTCAATTCCCCATGCAAAAAACAATCCTCAAGTTTACCACCTATAAAACTCCCTCAGGGAGGTCTGCTGTGTTTTGTTTCATTTTACAAGGAGCCTTTTTTCTGATTCATCCCAGAGCAGGATTACTTTCCTTGTGAACAAACTAGCAGTGCATAGAGAGCATCATAGAGCATCACATCAGGTACAGCACTGACAGGGTGATCTTTCTCCCTTTGAGTTTCTGTATCCCTTTTTCACAGGGTGGGTGGGAGCACATTACAGTCAGAGGAAATGCAACAGAAGCATCTCGGGCTGCTGTGCCTGACACCGCCGAGGAAAACCCAGCAGCATCGAAGGAGGGAGAAGATGAGGAGAGTAAAGGGAAAACAGAACACTCCAAGACCCCTCTGATGATCAGTGAAACTCAAGAGTTGGACAGAAATTCTGTTAACTGTTAAATTGTTGCCATCTACATGTTGCTAACAAGCAGTAGGCAGTAGTTGAAAAAGAAAGAGATGTCTACTGCTTGGAGAGAAAAACATGACATTTTTGTGCTACTAATATGTTTGACTGAACTGGACTTTGCAATGGGGTATTTTAAGTACTGAATCCTTCTAATGCATCTTGTGTAAAATGTGACTTGATAGAGTTCATAGTTCTGTCAAAGCAGGCAAGGTTTTTAACCATGTATTTCTGACCCTTTACCATAGCTGCTGCTCACCATGCAAATGTGAATATCTGCACCGATGATCACTGCATTTACTTCTATTTTTTATGCTCCCTACATTTCTTTCATATTCACACATCTTGTCCTTGAGATTCATCTTTGAGCACAGATAAAGTTGTTTCAGTCTGGATGAATTGCAGGCAAACACAGCTGGTCCTGTTTGGAGAGGCCCTTACACATGCACAGAGCTCTGCTCATGGGAGAGCTCCATGTCTAAGGATGGACTTGGGTCAGGCTGTTCTTGCTCCCATCAGCAAAATCAAGTTCTGCACAACTCTGCTTAGGCTACAGTTACCAGGAAGGGCCAATTTTTGCTGTCTTTGCTCACAGTGTGTTAATCAGGCAGCAGAACCTCTGGTTTCAGGGAGTCACTGGTGAGCCCAGTCCTGGTCAGTCGGGCTCAGCTCTGAACTGTCACTGCAAGCACTGGGAAATCGTGTTCTGTCTTCAGCTGAACTGAAACTGGGACAATTGAGCTACACAGATGCCTACCTAAGGAGGCTGTGTTCCAGATCATTGCAAATTATGCTATCATGCTGTAGAAGTCAAGGGAAGGTCTTAAACTGACTTTACAGTGGTAGGAATGCAAAACAACTTTACTGACAGCAGTGGAGATTGCCAGTGTACACTGATGGCAGTTCAGAATGAAGCTCTGCTCTTCATTTTGAGTAAGTGATTTATTCATCCCTTTTTCCAACATGATACCACTTTCTATTCTCAAAAAAAAGCTTTTTTTCCTGACTTATTTATCATAATTAGACAGTTTACATTCATTTCTCCTCTCTGTGTGTGACTGTACATGAAGTTATTTTTATATGATGAACAGTTTGGTGTGGTCTCAGTACTGTATTTGTAGAAGTAAAACTTATGTTTGCACGTATTTAAGGAATATATTTGGTATTAAATGCCAAGGAAAGCACTGTTTCCAAGTCCAAATGTGAATGAAGATTGAAGATGCTTTACTGTAAAAAAAAGAACCTGTTGATCTTTCCAGTATGTGATTAGAGATTTCTGGTTTATACATACATTGTGGGAGAAGCATAAATAACGTGTTGCATTAATTACTGTAATAGGTTTTGCATAACTTGCACAGTATCTTGTCCAAATAAATAACTTTATTACATGTATTTTTAGAGAATTATTAGGATTGTATTTTTCTCTGCATTGTATCAAGGTTTTTCCTTTTAATAGTCAGTGTTTACATCTCCAACAATCAACCTGATTGCATACAATAAGCTTTATAATGTACCTTTGCATTTTTCCCTACATTGCCAAGGTTCACTTACTTTACTGTAAAAAGCTGGGTTTAAGTGAAAAAAAAGTTATAAATTGTTTATGTTTGAGTACTAAGTATTTACCTTCTAAAATATTATTTAGAAAATTATTTAATTTAAAAATATAACGTCATTGTTGTGGCTAGTTAAAATATGGAAAAGTGACTTTAAACTGAAGCAATTTTGAAAAATAAAAGTAATTTATCAGAAAAAAATGCTTCTTACAAAATCCCTTTTGGCATGTCCAAGAACACAGCACTTTGTGGCAAAGTTCCAACGTGGAACTAGCAGCTGTAATTCCATAAAAATGCCTTTGTCCAGAGCCTGACTGTCCCTTGGGGATGGCAGTGTTCAGAGAAGGGGTGACTTTCACCTGCCTCCTTGGCTGCTGTATTTATAGCTAGATATGATGTGCCATTTTGGGCTTAATATTTGAAATGCCTCTGGTTTCAGAAAGCCAAAAATACACTGCCCAAGCATTAAACTCTGCATGTTTAAGAGCGATACCAGCATACTTGGTTCATAAAGTGCAATTCTTCATCAACAGTACTGTTAGAATACTGGATTTTAAACTTGCTGATTCCCTCCTTCCACCAATGCAGCCAAACAGCAGTTCAAACATAACTATCCCACAAAAGCATTCCAGGGATGTTTACTAGCTGGAAACTCAGATAATGACCTTTAAAGAATCCTACAAAAAAATTACCATAATCTACAAGTGCTTGGTCATAGCTTACTGTGTGACACACAGAGCCACAGTTTGCACTGACCTGGAAGGTGAGAAATAACCAAATAACATCAACATCTCTTACCTGAGGAGGTGCTGAGTGGAATAACTGGAAGAAAAGGCCTTGGTGTTACTGACTGACCCATTGTGATCAGTGCACAAATACAGTGAGGGTTAATTTACCCACACAGGGCTGCTGTGATCTAGCATTGTCATGACAAGTTAAATCTCCAAGAGACTCTGCAATTCTTTCATTAACACCCGAGTACAAGAAGGGCTAAATCACATTTATTTTAATGTGAAAAAAGTTCAACAACTAAGAAAATTCCAGTTGAGGCAGGATCCAAATGTTTTCTCCAGGAAGGCAACCACATGTATAAACTGTTGTGTTGTTCTACATCATAGCTATGGATTGCTGTGGTGGAGAAAGAGAATTCACATCCCTTACCAGCTTGTGTGGGAATCCTCATCTTTCACTCTGAATTACATTGTCATCCCCTCAGCTGTGCTGCAGCAAACTACAAACACATTCCAAACTGCACAGTCCTTTTGTGATGGATCTGATAAATCCTTCCTCAGCCCCCATTCCTCCTTGGACAGCCCTCCTCTCCTGGAAAAGGACCATGCCACAAACCATTATCAATCCCAGTGATGGATGAGGTGCCAGATGTTTCCTGTGCCATCAGAGCTCAGAGCAGCAGCCTCCTGTTCCATGGGGCACGTGGGGAGGGGCAGCTGGGACACGGGGGCTCCGTGGGCACCACACTTTCAACTGAGGCCACGCCAGCTTCAGATGCCCCAGGTATGAGAATACAAGATGAAATGAGAGTTCCTCAGTGACATAAAACTTTTTACCACAGAAGGGGATAGAGGGAGGGGAAAAAAAGAGCTTATTTTCCTTTTTGAAGAGTTTCTGCTTCATTTATTGTTTTACAGTATCAGAATCTAATGCTAACCCAAAAAGAACCTGATCACATCACAGGCTTCATTAGCAAGTAATTTAAACTGGCCAGAGCATTGTCTAACTTAAAGACTATACTAAAGCATTTTTATCATTGTCTTGGCAAAAGTAAGTAATTTGTCCCTTATTTATTATTTGTATTACAATGGCACCCAGACACCCACTAAAGAGAATCTCCATGAGGCCAGATGCTCTGGAAACACAGATCAGAGCTGTCCTTACTCTAGAGAGCTTACAATCTAAGAAAGCTTTGCAGATGTTTGCATCAAGAGATGTTTTTATGCCTTGCAATGTTCAAGATAACCAGGGCAGATCCACCGAAGTTAAATATCAAGATAAATATTCAGATTTGGTGACCAATTTCCCATATGTGCCACTTCAGTCACCAAGTCAGTCAAATGCTGTCATAGATTTTAATCTTTTCTTTAGCACAGTAGACGAATCATTGAAAGGCTGCTGAACAGAACTACAGCCAAGATTCTCAACAAACTCCAAGGAACTCAGATGACACAGACCTTAAAGGCTCAACTCACTCTACTCCAGGTGGGATAATTTTCAGAAGTTAGTAAATCACTATTTTCAAGTCAACTCCAATGTTACAGGATACGTTTCCAGATCCTGGCACACCTCACAAACACATTCATTATGCTCTGAAAAATTCTGAGGGTTTAAAGTAATTTTTAATGTACCATATAAACTATAGTCATGAGTGTTACCTGTTTGCCTTTTTAAGACAAAAAAAAAGGAAGAGACTGGAGGCAAAAATAACCTCTTTAAACCTCTAGGTAATGACACGTATTATGATGTAAGAAGGAAAAACAATGACAGTAGTAGCTGGCAGTTTGTGTTTTGGCTGAAGTTATGAATCTATGTGGAATATTTCTGTAGATTTTCCTCATGGTCATCCTCCCCATGCTGCTGTTGATAATGCTGGTACAGTTTGGATCCCCAGGCTCCCCCCATCCCTTCTACTGCTGGAAAGTGTCCGTTGGACATATTGAGTATAATGGAGGTCAAGGATTTGATGTAGTTTTTGGCCAGTGTGAGAGTCTCTATTTTGGAAAGCTTGTTCTCAGCTCTCACGTGAGGGATCACCTCCCGCAAGGCCTGGAAGGCGTTGTTGAGCTTGTGCATTCTCTGCCTCTCGCGCTCGTTGCTCTCCAGCCTCCTCAGCAGCCTGTCCTTACTGCTCCAGGCACGCTTGGCTCTGCCTGCGGGCATCTTGCTGCTCTCCTTGTTTCCCCCATTCCTCCTTTCTCTGCGTCTCAAACATTTCACCAGTTCCTTTTTTCTCATTGCTGGCTCTTCAGAGAACGCTTCTTTGTCAACAGTTTGCCTTTGTTTCTTTCCTTTGGTTTTAGTCTTCATGTTTTGTTGGATGGACTGGTATTAATTGTCAGTGTGCTGTAAAAACATAACACCAATATTCAGCTGGGAGGAGAGCTTGCAGAGGGAACAGAGGGCAAGTGAATGGAACCAGTGAAACAAAGATGCAGTGAATCGCCTACTGGTGAAAAACAGATGCCTCAACTTTCTTAGAAAACAGGTCTCAAAGCAGAGAGGTTTTTCCTTTATCATTGTACACAAGAGAAAGTGGTCTCCAAGTCGATTCAGTCTTTTTGTAGAAAAGTGAACCACAACTCAAAAAATATGCAGAATACAACAGTCAGTGAGGTGTGGTAACACATTGCCTCTGTTTGATCCCTCATGCTGCTGTTGTCTCCCAGCTCCTCACTCCCCCATGTTATAACAGAGCCATGCACCACTTCCATGTACGTGTGCTGGCTCAGAGGGATATTACACAGACCCTCAGGCTCTTACCCGAAGTAATTTCTCCTTGAACTCCTGTTAATTGGTTTTTGTGGGCAGAGGTTTCCACTGTGAGAGGAGTCCACTAGAGGGAAACATGGCACACTCTCAGAGAGAAGCTCCGAGCCAGCCACGTGTTTTCAGCTGCAGCATTTGTGTTGTGGGCTAGTCCCCTCCACACACACACACACTCACAAAAAAAAAGCACTTCCCTCTTCCAACAACAATCCAATAATGGCAGGGCTTAACTGCAGTTATTGCTCCAGATCAACAGCAGCAGAGCAGGCTATTTTCCAAGTTACTCAAAAAGACACAGCAACATTCCTTCCTCTGCATTAGGTAACAGCACTGATAATTTACCTCCCTCAGCCCATATTCTGTGCCCACACTACATCTGAAGACAACAGCACCACAGCAACCCTGCCTCTACCACCAATGATCAGTGTTACTAAGAGACATTCCCAAAATATGTTCTTTCCACAGTCTTCCAGTTCCTGTAGTCATTAAAAGGTTTGGTGTAAACAAAATACATTTTTACGCCGATACTATAGTGTAGGAGCAGACTGAGAGTTGGTGAGCCAATAAAAAATGAAGGAAAAAGAAGAACAAAAAACCTAGCCCCAGATGTGAGACTGTCCCAGTACAACCACAACCTTAGCTGGAGCAGGTGGTGGCTGTGTCCAGCAGGTCCCAGCTGTGCTATGGTAAACACATCCTGTCTCATTTCTCATTTCTTTAAAGCCATGTTCAGCTGCTGGGCTTGCACAGTGACTCCATTCTCTGCCTGTGAGGACATCCTGGCCATCCCCAGGTTCCTTACTACCAAAGAAGCAACTTTACCAAACAGGACAAGAATTCACAAAGCAGCTGGGTTAGGTAGCACCCAGGGGATGACAGCTGAAAGACAGCACCAAGCAGCTTGCATTGTGGGAGCCTAAAAAATGCTGGAGACACACAGGTATCTTCAGGGAGAAAACAGCACCAGGTTTGTTCTGGACCCTTTGTGTAACTCACTTGGCAGAAAAGGCACAGCTAGAGCAGAGCACAGAGTGGGAGCTTCCCTGCCCAAGCACAGGAAGCACTCCTGGGGAGCGCTGCTGTTTGGAAGAAAACAGCCCACAGGACGTGGTGAAGAGGGGGCTCATGGAGACAGCCAGGAGGGAAAGTTGGAAGAAGATCCAAGAGAAAGGAAGCTTCAGCAAACAGCGAGAGCAAAGTAGTCTTTAAAACTGTAGGCTGGGCAAAAGCAAATGAGGTATAACGGGATAACAAGGTGCCTAGCTGGGAGGTTTGTTCTGGGACTGCCACTGCTGTCATCTGTAGAAGTAACCTTAGAGAGCCCCAGCTCAGCTGCTGGGAGACCCAGGAAGGCGTTATCAGAGTGTGCAAGGAGCAAACAGATTGTGGGGGGACCAGGAGCAACAGACTGGAGTGGTCAAGAGAAACCAAAGAGAGCAGCCGAATACCAACACATTTAACACCCTGTGCAGCCATCTACAAGGGCTGGCATCCCTCTTCTGTGACTTACCACTCCACCCGCTGCTGAGAAGGCGCCTGGGGCCCAAGGGGCAAGGCGGCAGAGACCCAGGGGAAGCCAGGAACAGCAGCAAGGGCTGTGGGGGCAACTGGGAGGGAGCGCTGCGTGTCCTCTGAGCGAGGCAGGGTCTGTCTGCGAGGGGCCCGGCCCGGCCCCGGCCGAGGAGCCCCGGGCAGGCGCTGCCCGAGCCCCGCAGGCGGAGGCAGCCGCAGGCAGGGCCGGCGCTGCCCCGGACACGTCGCTTTAGCGGCGGGGGCGGGCCCGGCGGGCGGGAGCTCCGCTCCCTCCGCGGGCAGGCACCCGCACAGCCCCGAGGGGCCGGGCACGGCCACATCCCCCGGCTCACGGCTCCCGCCCGTGCTCGGGGTGCTCACAGCGCTGGCGGTGACACGGGGAGGCAGCGGCGGGGGTGTCACTGGCACCGGGGCAAGCACAGCTCTGTCGTGCACAGGAGGGGCCGGCCCGGTGCCTCCTTAGCAGGTGCAGTGTCCCCGGCTGCAGGAGGACAAGGTCTCAGCTCTGTTCTGCAAGTTGTCACAGCACCCGTGTGACACAGGCCCACAGACACAGCACTGCCACCTCTTCATAAAGACTGCAAGTTCTCAAATTCTTCGATAATAAGTTCTATATAAGGTGACCAATTTAGTGCCATGGGATCTTTTGCATCTGTTCTCATTAATGACTACTGCCTTGGTCAAATTTCAGCCCAGTAGTTATATTTTACCTAATGAAGTTAAGTCATCTTGATATCAGTTTCTCATTCCCAGGTCACAACAGGTGCCAGCACTCAACAGCTGCCATGAGAGGTGGGGGCTTCCACAAGAGCCTCCATCAACACTGCCAGGGCTGCCCTGGGCCATCCCCACCCTCCCGCAGAGCAGGGAGCAGCAGCCCTGTCCTCCTGCCTCACTCTCCTCCTGCCAGCCTGGAACAGCCAGCACCTCATCAAGGGAGCTCCCAGTGCACACCAGTACTTCAGTTATTTACCTGGTGATTTTTGGTCCATTCAGCACATGCACTTAGATGGAAAAAACAAGCAACTCTTCTAGGAAGAAATTCAGCGAACACTGAGAAAACATCATTAACCTGTTTTCTGAATTTATGAATTTCAAACTCCCCATTCTTCCTACAGATCTCTAATTCTACGATTGAAAGCAAAATTCAGTATTCAGAATGACACTGTTTCTGTTTTAATTATTGCTTCTCTACTGACTGTGTACACACTTTACCTGAAATTTTCACAAGGGTGATGATACTGGAAGAATTTAAAGGTGACTATGCTATTTAGCGTGGACTCATCTGCTGGGACTGTGGCTTTGAACTTTTGGAACTTTCTCAACCTCAGGAGACTAATAAATACATCTTACAGTAGAACTACACTGCTGGCATCTGTTTAAAAATGAACAAACAGACAAAGAGATTATAAATATATAACTGTATTTTATTTTTAATATTAAATATTTTTAAATTACAAGCAGTTTCTTGAATCACACTATGCATGATAATCAATATACAGTAGAAATTACAATTTAAAAATGTACACAATTTAAAGACATTTTGACCTGAAATTTCATTAACTATGATATATTGCCATAAACCTCATACCTGTATTAAATTACAATAGGAAAACCTCATACCTATGATTTTGTTACATAGTTTCTCATTTACAAATAGAATTGAACATTATATATACACACACATCAGTACCATTTATCATTTAAGTTACACCTACATCTGTGCAAGTTCAAACAATTTCATAAACAAAACTAACTGTAAGTCATATTCAAGTTTCTGAAAAACAGGCTGCTGGTATTACAAATACTTATTTTCAATAAGTTTATATGATGTTTGACTCTCCTCTAGATTTCTTCCCATTTTGTACCAAAACCATTAACATGTATGACTTAAAGCTGAAGTAATTTTTTGAAGTAACTCCATTCTTATTTAAGGCTATTTCTTATAAGGCTAATGTACTTGAATTCCACCTTTCATCAACTCCAACACAAATAGCCAAGTCACTGACACCTGACAATGCTGACATTTTAGGATAGTGCTTAACTGTAAAAAAAAAAAAAAAAGTCTTTCTACCAACCAGCCTCTTCATGAAAGATTGAGTATTACATAAAAATCTGCTAAAAATACTGATAAAAAGAATGAGGCTTAAATGGCTTTCATTAGTGCATTGACAAGGATATGAAAAAACAGTTAAATCTGCTCATTTCCATGAAAATGGCAATTTCCATCAATGCAGTTATACACAGTGTATCTGCAGCTGGGGCATGTGGGAGAGTACAGGTGTTCCCACTGAAACTGGACACACCTGTTGCTCTCTTGGCTTCTCACCACAGATCCTAATGTTCAAACAAACTTCTTCAGGTGGGAAAAATCAAATCTTTTAAATACCTTTAGTAGCCAAATTGAGACAATGCCTTCATTATTCAAACAATCCAGGGATTCTACTAGAGAAGGAATTAAGCTGTAACCAGTCCTCATAATAAACCATTGAAAATAGATACATGTACTTCTAAAATGGAGACCAGGCTTAAGTAGCTAGTGCAAGCAATTACACAGAGTGTAATGAATGATTTGGAACAAATCCCCTCATTATAATGTAACATGTTGGAATTACTGATTCATCTTCATTGTGCCACTTAACTGCCAGGCAGATATTTAAGTATTGCTAGTAGTTGATCAGATCTTTAATTATTATTTTTTTACCCCAAAAGATAGTCTATATTATTGCAATCCAGCCTACTGGATTACTGAAAGTAAAATTTATGTTTAAGTGATCCGAGTTAGCTTTAAATATTTATTTCTCTTCATTGTACAGCTAAAAAGGACATTACCTTGCTTAATATTATACACATCTTGTTTTGGAAAAAATGCTCCTTTGGCAATTCATTAGCAATAAGTCCATTTGTACAAAGGAGTAAACTTTCACTTCCTGTGTAAGCTTTTCTTTAAACCCAGGTAAAGAATAAAAATCTTAGATTTCCATCAAGCAAAGGAAATTCCTGATGTGCAAGATAAACATCTGATTTTCCAGAATTACAAGAAACAAAATGCACAACCAAATTACAACATTCCGGAGCATAAGCTTTTATTTAACCCAGAATTATTTTTTAAATAAAATGATTCAAAATTAAGGCTGAACTCCAGGTCTGACAAGTTTTTCACCACATAAGGCAGACAAGCCCAAATGTTCCCTGCAGACCATTATGGAGTTTCATTCTTACTGTGGTGGAAATTTAAAGACAGATGAGGTACCCTAAATCTAGCTGTATCAAGGAGTTTAATGTTGCAATTATGGAGTTTCTAAGCAATAGTTTGTGCACAAGGTCTATTACCAACATTTTAAATTATTTTCAGTAGCACACAGCTTCCTTAAACCCTCTACAGTATATACTGTAAGCCTGTGTTAAGAACTACTTGACTTTGCCTTCTAAATAATGTTTTGGGAAAGGTCTATAGGAAAATCCAGTTCCTCACTTCATACTGAAGAACAGTTCTGACTAACTCTGAACCTGAGTGCCTCATCAGAAAAAGATAATTCATTGGCAACTTCAAAGAACATGATTAATTAAATCATTCCCTTTTAGTCAGTATGGAAGCCATTCTGGTTTAAGGGCTAAATAATGTTGGAGAAAAAACCAGTTACCATATGCCTGTCAATTTTAAAACATACTTAAAAATCAAAATTAACACAGAGGTATACAAAAAAAGAAATCACACATCTGAAAATATCTAATCCTCCCATCTCCATATGATGAATATTCTCTGGTGACTGGATCTGGACACAGAGCACTTGGACCACCATTATCTCCAGCCCTGCCAAAACAACCACTAAAATACAAAGTACTTAATATTTCAGTGCATTTGTATTTTAGTACAGGTAAACAAATACAAAGCCAGGTAAACTGCTCCTATCAGTGTTTCCTACAGATCTGAACTGCATAAGGCATTCCAAGAAGTCAGGGATTTGTTTTTCAACTGAACACACTTTGGAGTAATAATTAAGGATATATTTTTCCAAGCAGTTTAGAGGATTAAATCAGCTAAATGCATGGTAGAGCAGGAAGGTTTAGCCCCCACAGTCTTCCCTTCCCTACAGAGCAAACCCATTGTACTGCAGCCTTTGCTCAGAATGCATTTCAAGATGTACCATGGAGCTCTGCAGACATCTTAAAATGGATCTGGCCCTATAATTGGTGCAGAACTGGGCATGAACCATTAATCAAAATCTTAATTGTCATAACATCACAGAGAGGTAGATTTACCACAGGCCTCTGAATGGAGCCCAGATCTGCAGTCAGCAGAAGAGTGAGCTTCAAAAATTCACAGAATGTACAACTGAAGGGCCAAGTGTACCCAAATCCAGTCTACTGAAATTAGTCTTTTTATAAGATTCATAAATTCCAGAGTTTTGTACAACCAATTTTTCCTCTTCTTTCTCCAAGGCAGAAATTGTAGTAAAAACTGGAAGGCCCTTAACTTTGATATAGTCAGATGCTATTACAGTTTAAGCAGTCAGTAGGATCATATGTAGGAATTAAGAGACATTATCTCTTTCATCTAAAAATTCCAGAGTATATCATAGATTCTTTTCCAGTTTCCTATAAAACATGAACACTAACAACCATTCTATAACCATTATCATTTTAGAAATGGTACTGAATATAAGATTTCAGCAAGTCTAACATAATACTCAGAAGTTATGTACGTTTGACGAGTACCGTGCATAGCAAAAGGCTACAAAAAGGACAAATTAAACTGGATAACTGGGCCAATTCAACTTGTCTTATTTTCCTTGAAAGATTTAAGATTTTGATTCTGTACATCATCAGGAAATAAAGGAAGAATAATCCATAGTGCAATTGTAATAAGCAAAGTAATATGTAGTGATATCTTTTTGAATAAATATGGCTCACTACTGATCAACTATCATTCAAACAGTTCCATCAACACAGCCACCTGTTGCACAGGACAGGTATACACAATTCTACAACAGGTGTATGTTCAAATAGATAATGAACTACATGGAAAAATATAAAAAGAATATTATACAATCTCATACATAAACCAGACTGTAGTGTAATTGCTTTACTTGTTTAAGTTATCTGAAAAATACTTCAAGTACTTGAAAACAGCGGCAGAATCGTCTTTCAATGAAAAGCAAAATTGCACTGATTTAAAAATACATTACAAAGTTAAATACACATTCAAATTAATGTCCTGATTTAACATTGCTTTCAGTGTTTACTTCCATTTCTCAGTACTTCTTGATTACCTGTGTTACTCCAGGAGGATCCAGAGTTTAGATAAAGAAGTTTCAAACACAAAGTCTGTGTGTTTTATGTACGGAGTCCGAGCATGTTTAAATTGATTTAATCTTTTTCTCCATCTTCACTGCTTCCTATTAGTAGAGGAAAGGTCATAAGATACAGTGAGATTCTTCTGCACAACCCTCACTTCTTTTTAAGACTCTTTCTAGAACTTGGCATTCTGCTGTTTTGCCCTTCCAAGTTTTGGTTAATTTTTCCCTACACTTTCAACTACTGTAAACGTTTGGTTCATTTATTCATGGACATCTGCTTCAATCACACAGTTCAATGTCACTTCTTAGGACACATAAGGCAATGTAGGATCTCCAAAATACTCTCTCTTATCTGTAAGTTACTAAGCAGCAAATATTATCTAATCAGTAAGCACAATACAAGAACAATACAATTCTATATAACACTGATTACATATTTATAGACATTGACCATAAGCAAGGCTCTGCAATCAGTAATATTTATTTTTAATAATGCAATGTGTTATCAAGATTAATAATATGCCAAACCGATTCAAGTGTGCTTATTTTTGCTTCTCTTAACCCTCAAAAATGTATCAAAGGTTAAAAAAGCTTTTGGTTACTGACAAGAAGGCTTGTTAATAAACACTGCTAGTACTCAGTATTGCTCTGAACGGATTGCTTGGCTCTCCTAACAAAAACTACCCTATTCACAGCTCTAGAAAACATGCTGCAGTTCTCAAGAGAATGTCAAGAATGCAATGTCTAAAAAGCAATATGAAAAGAAAACTAAACTGTAAAATAAGCTTACACAATAATAGCAGAAACATTATGTTCCTGGCATCCTCATCCTGTGCAATGAAAATACAATTGTGACTTAAGACAGTGCAATAACCAGAATTAATAACTGCCATAGTGTGGCAGGTGCAACAGCAGTGCTGCAGGATTGCAGAGGGTTCATTTATCCAAATACAGCACTAGGGTTTTTAACACAAAAACTGAGAGCTTATCCTGTAAATGTTCCCCAGGCTGTTCAACCACAGTTTTGTACCAATCTGGATGCAAATAATCTCCATGGAAAACTATGTCTTAACTGAAACACAAGACCAGACATAAACTTTCACAGTGTTAAAAATGTACTTCTACATTTGGTATTTAAATAGAACAAGACTTGTTGTGTCTGTTCCTTTATCTTTACATAACTATTTTAACTTGTATCTTTAAAGTAATTATAACTAAATCACTTACCTCCTTGCTCTATATCTGAATCTGTAAGATGTGTAAGAGAAAAGCTTGCCATGTTTGCAGGCGAGATGGAGAATCTGGAGTAAGGGGATGAATGTGACCAGTTCTGATCAAGAGTCCGAGATGGTGGAGGTGGAGAGAAGTACTTTGATGGCTGAAGGGGTGGTTTAGAACCAATGAGACTATTAGCTGCCTTGGATATAAAGGATGGGTCTGGAGAAGAGAAGTCATCATCCCACTCAAAACCCCCACCTTGGGGAGGGGAAGGAAAAAAAAAAGGAAGAAAGAAGAAAAAAGCAGCATTACAGTAATGTCATGTAAGGTCACCCAGAGTTGTACAAGCAGACTGGAAGATTACATTAACCCCAAACAAAACCTGTATCCCCGGGCAGGGCTCTAGCCCAGGGAGTCACAAAGATTTGTCACCCAGTTTGGCTGCCTCTCAGGCAACCCTGGACACATCAATATATAAACAACCACTATCACATCCCAGCTTTGCTCCTCAGGAACAAGGGAATGTGAGCCCAGCTGCAGCATGTGCTTAGGATGCAAAATTGAAGCCAACATGGTCCAGTGAGTTTACAGATCACATATAGTTTAATGACTTCTCATAAAAGGCTCTGCATAAAAGAGTCTCAGCCCCTGCTGTGTGTAAATATATTCATGTACCTTCTTCATCTGTTGAGCTTTCTGAATTTGCAAATCTGTTTAAGTAACCAGGACTGGAAGATGCAACAGGAGAGCTGCCAGCACCTTCCCCGTTCACGTCTATCCCACGGCTTCCCAGCTCCTTCGTTGGTGTTTCCTAAGGCAAACAAAGTCACTTATTTAACTCTTTTTACACACAATGTCTCCACGCCTTCAGATGCCAGCACCCACAAATACACTCCCCCATCCTGCCACCAAGTCAAATGTGGAATTAAAAGGTCTGTAAACTGTTACAACAACACAAGACTTTGAGTTACAGATTAGCACATGCAAGTAGTTCTAAAGAAAGCTGCATCAAATCTATGCTAAAATGCACACAGGAAACGACTTTTTAAATATTATTTACTATATGAAATGGTTTCATATTTGTAGGAAGAAACACCTTCCAACTGAAAACAGTTTCCATATCAGCTTAACATGGGTAGAGTCTTTTTTTCCTCTTTAATAAAGCCTTATCCCAATATATTATTTTTTTTAAATCCCCTAATCATGTTCAGGATAAAGAGCCAGACTTTGTACAGCCGGCATTGGAAGCAGCCAACATTTTATCAGTTATTGTAATAAAAAGTAAAGAGTTCAACAACTAAGAGCAGTTTAAACACAGCTGATTTTTTCCTTCCCCTCTGACAAAGGGATTACTATTCTACAGGCTGCCTAAACACAAATAAATCACCTATGTTTTCTATTCCAAAACACAGTTAACTCTAATATTTAGGTGCGCCATCATAAGCAACATTTCCAAAGCTTGACAATGTGACTGTTCTTTTAAACTCACTGGACTAGTTTAGTTGCCATAATGCTAAAATACAATCCCCTCTGTACTCTGTATCCAGTTACAGAAGTTAAAAATTGATAAAGCTGATAGGGAAACAAAAGTAACCTTGAATTTTATAAGCAGATCACTGCGTCACTGAACATGAATCCCTGAATCCCACAGGATTAATAAAAATTAGCCTTACCATCTAAATAATGTTCTTTCTCATCTTTGATTATGATCTTAGATAAATTTACCTTAGTGTTAACTAACATAAGATGCAGAGTCAAGCTTCAGTTTGAGTTTTGGGGTTTTTTGGTTGTGGGTTTTTTTTGTTTTTTTTTTTTTTTTTTTGTTTTTTTTTTTTTTTTTTTTTTTTTTTTTTTTTTTTTTTTTTTTTTTT